GGGAACGTATCATTTTCAGGGGAAGGGGCGCGCCACGTCGGATGCTTACGTGGTACACATGACAGGTGGCGCCATTTCAGCCATCAGATCCCTTGGCGATTTCTAGCCAGGAGTTACCGTGAAGTTTCTGGAAGCTCAGGCGTCTGAACCCTTTTTCTTCAACCTCCATTTGGGTACTGTCGTGGCAGGGTCTCGGCCTTCCACGTGTCCAATGTTTTTTGCTTCCAACTCCAATCATTATAAATTGCAACGCCCCTTGCGAGCCCCATCCACGTCACCTGTGGGGCCCGCGACGCGTTAATGAGAGTGGGCCCGCCACGTGGGGTCGTCTCTATTTGCAACAGTTTTGAGATTTTTTTAAAAATAATTTCTAAGGAATTTCTTTAAAGGCTTCAAATTTGAAAATAATAAGTGGTTTGACGACAAGGGATGTCTCAATTTTGTAATTCCCCAAAAAGTGCCAATTGTCATTAATAATAAATAAATTGTCCCTCTCAACATTATTTTCTTTTGCATATTGATTTTAGTTCAAATTAGATTAAATTACGACGAAAATAAAATACAACTTTACCCTTTCTTTTCTCAAAATATCTTTTCAATACTACTCTTGATTTTTTATAAATATTTCTATATATCATTTTAACAAATAGTTAACATGGTAATTAACATAGCAATTAACGCTAAAAATCTTCTTCCTCTATCATCATCAGAAATTTGATTCTTCTACCTTTTCTCTCTTTCCAAAGTTAATCCAGACAATAGAATTTGATTCTTCTACCTTTCATCTCTTGTCATATTGTTATAGATTCTACTACTTCAATTTTCTATTTAAAATATTAACATATGTTTGCTTGAAATGCTTATGAAATGTTAACGATAGTATTAGAACTTTGATAGAATATAAATATTTTTTTAAATAAATGGCAAAGAATAGGGATATTATTGGTAATTTATCCTTTAAATTATAAGTTGTAACTTTCCTATCAAATAAAATTATAAGTTTAGTTTTTCAAATTTGATGACGGTGTAGTTTAAAAATTTAAAGATTGAAATATTTTTTTTGTTTTTGGTTCATTTTGGCTCTTATACTTATTAAATTCTTATTTTGAGTGTTGTACAACTTTAGTTCATATATTTTGAGAATGTTCATGTTGGTCCATGTATTCTTAAAAAGTGACCATTTTGGTCTATATTTGCAAAATTTAAGCACAGATTTCTCTTTAATATAAAGTCATGATTACATGCCAAAGCGAGTATAGTTTAGTTGTAATTTGCATATATTGGTTGTGAGTTCGATCCTCCAACCTCACATGTTGTACTAAAAAAAATCGTGGTTACATTTCAAGAAATATATTGAGCGCGATACCCTATTGAACCAAAGTTTAAATTCCATCAACTAAAATGAATACTTTAAAAGCATAGGAACAAAAATGGACCAAAGCTGAAAGTATAAGAACCAAAATAGTATTTTAAAAAAAATTCAATGAGTGGATTTTCCATTCTGACTCTAACGAGTTCTTGGTTAAAATATTAATTTGGTCCCTATATTTTCAATTTTGGTTCAATTTGGTCTCTGCACTTTCAAAATGTTCGTTTGGATCCCTGTACTTTTAAGAAGGGACCATAATTTTATTCTTAATCTCACTTTTTTCTATCACAATTTCAACACGACACTAAAATCAATATATTTTTAAAAATGTAAACATTACTTTATACTAAAGAGTTTTCATTAGGTGTAATATTACAAATAGGGACTAAAATGATCACTTTTTAAAAGTAGACCAAAATTAACATTTTCAAAGTACGGACTAAAATGAACCAAAATTTAAAGTACATGGACCATAATAGATATTTTTAAAGTACATGGACTAAAATGAACCAAGCCTGAAAATATAGGAAYCAAAATAGTAGTTTTCTTTTCCTTGATTGTTCTTATTGTTGGCGTCCATCGATGTGTCATATCATACTTAATCACCAAAGGAAGCGTAGATCAACAGTAATTGACACATATCTCCAACCAAAAGTTGTGAGTTCGAATCTCCTCCCCAACATATTGTACTAAAAAAAAGTTTGTCTAATCAACAAATCACGTGCTAATATTTAAATAACATTATTAATAGAAGACACTTAATAGAATGTAAAAATAAAAATTTTATTGATGTAGTTGGAAGATTTTAAAATTGATATTAATAGACAGAACGCTGACTAAACTTGCGATTTAACCTTTTTTTTTCATTACAAAAGGTTTAATTTCTCAAGCAGAGACTTCTTGAAAATTATTAATATTTTAAAAATAAAACCGAAACTTTTAAAACATCTATGAAATTAAAAATTATGCACGGTTTTAACTTAAAGGGATCAAGTAATGTTGAGCAAAAGAAAAATCGTTTCAACTATTTTGTTTTTTCTTTTTAAAAATCAAGTTTATAAACCCAACTTCCAAGTTCCACCTTATTTATTTCTTTGTTTTTTTTTTATTTACTCTTTAAAAACTAAAAATCCAAGCTAAATTTTCAAAACATAAAAAGGTAAGTTTTAAAATTTTGTATTTGTTTTTTAATTTAACTGAAAATTTAAACGTGTTTAAGAAACCGTGAGAAGTACATCCAAGAAAATGGGGAGAAAGAGCATAAATTTTAAAAACATATAAAACTAAATTCGAAAGGATCAAATATGTCTATTTTATTAGTTTTGTAAATTAATTTTGTTTATCAATGTAGGTTTTTCTAAAGTCTTTCTTTGTGAGTGGAGGTGACAACAACCTATGAAACATTGAAGTTAAAGAAAAGTGAAATAGGAAAGGGAAGAAGTGACGTTTGATTGTGTAATCAGTGTTTAATGTTGGTGGAAATTTTTATGAAATGGCTTAAAGATTAAATTCATGACTTTCACGGGCTATTTTATGAAAGAAAAAAAAAATCAAATCACAAATTGAGTCCAAATTTAAAACATCGATGGAATCGACCAAATCTAGTCGATTAGATTATTAAGTAATAAATATCAATTGGTTTGGTCACATGAAATAAATAGGTTTGATTTTGATAGATGATGAGTTCAACGACGTGTAGGAGTAGGTGGATAAATGATATACCCCTTAACTATTTTTTCTAATATAAAACGTCCTTAATTAGTTTTTGGTTGAAAATATATGTCCTTAAACTAATTCGGGTGAGATTCTAATATCCAATCTTTTGGTTGAAAATATTATCTCCTCAACCAATTGATGCTCAAGTTTTTTGTCTCTATAATCTTATATCTACGTCAAAATCATCTTGTACTTTTAAGGGTTTAAAATTTGTTTATGTATTTTAATTTATGAGTTCCAATGATCATTGTTATTAATAAATGTTAAAAAAAAATATGTTGACCATTCGTAAATTCTTATGCATTTGTCCATTTTAATACCAAGACTGATTAAGACATCAATTCTCATTGCATTTCAACACTACCAATGAATGTCAATATAAGAATAACATAGGTTAACTGATTAAGACATATATAATCGACTTAAAAGTTAGAAATTTGAATATCCTCCTTACATTTCGTTGAACTAGAAAAATCAATAAATGRCAGAAAGTAAAATAGCATAATTTAAAAGTTTAGCGTTGTTTATGGATTATTACAAATAGGATGATGTTTTTTTAGACATGATACTATAATAGGATAATTTAAACTATATAATATACAATATATGATACTACATGTAACTTTGAATACTTGTCTATTGTAAATATATCTACTAATAAAAGAAGGAACGTGCCCACATTAGATTTTTGTTAAATAATATAAAATCAAATGACCCAAAACTTATAGATTAAAAAATAGAATAACTACCATACTTTACATATTGAAGTAGGAACTTTTTTATCTAGAAAAATAGTCAATTCAAGTCGAATAGAATATAATTCAATTCCTCAAGTTATAGTAAATTTTCTTAAATGTAAAGTTTTGAATCTTGCCACGTGTACTATTAATTTTCTTAAAGAATTATATCTATCACTCCTTTGTTTACAAACCAACCATTATTCTATTATTTATTATAGCTTAACTAAGTAATAAATAGTATCTACTTCTTCAAAGATTTAAATCTCTGTATCTCATAGGTAGTTGTACTCAGAAAAAAAATTAATAACTTATTTTAATAATAAAATTGTTCCATATTTGAATGTGTCTAAAAGTTAGAGATAAAAGTGAAATCTTTAAAAAATAAAAATATATCTAAACCTAACCATAGAGTTTCGTGGCTTTTGAATAATTTAGCCAAAAGAATTCCCCAAGAACTCGAGATGAAATCTCAGCCACTATAATAATTAGTGGTCTTTTTAAAATATTATTTTTGGAAAAATGAAATAAAAGTAGTGGTTAGTTAATGGATAGGGCTTGTAAAGCCACGAGTTTCGGGCTGTGCTACTGCTGCGGACGCTCCTCAATTTTGGGCCTCAAATACTGGGCCACTCGATCCACAATTGGGCCCTATTTTACCTGACGTGTCGCTCCGACATCGTTTTGTTAATCAATTAAACGGTTAGAACGGGAGCATCAAATGATTAGGTGCGGACGGACCCACGGTAAGATCGGATAGGCATTCAATGATTACGGTACGGCGTTAATCCAGTGATACGTAATGCATCAATGAACGTTTATTCCCGAGCGGCTGAGATTCGTTTGCAGGGAATCGTATGGTA